AAAAAAAAAAAAAGAAACAAAGAGTTTGATCATCTAACTTCAAACATGTTCTATTTTATTCAATGTTACAGACTTTTAAAGTTTTTCATCCTTAGTAAACTGTGTTACTGATTTCAAGACCTATAAAATTAATGTTGTTTTTGTAATCATAAAAAACTCAATATATTACACTCACAACATTGAGTGGAATCTTGATTACTCAAACCCATGACTTTTCAAACCTCCTCCAAACCAAGTGTCGCTTCCCTTCCCTCAGTCCAAAACTGTAATTTTCCCCCTGATTTCTCAAACCACAAAAATTTCCACAGCAATTTTTGTTTCCCTTGCAGTTTCAAAAAATCACGATTCCAATGTAGGTAGTTCCTTTGATCTACTGAACATTTCCAATTACTGGGTCAATGTAAAACATTCCAGTGACCTCTAAAATCTTGTTAAAGCAGCCAGAGCAATAACACATCATTACTGACAAAATAAGTTTGCCTACCTGTTCTTGACAAGCCAGTAATCTTGACCGTCTTCGCTGCCATATCCCACGACTAGGACACCATGATCAAGTTGAGTACTGCTACAAGCGGGTTCGTCGTAAACACCTGTGTGGTAAAACTGAAAGGAACTGTGGCTAGCATCGATTGCTACTGAGATTGGACCAATGGAAGCAGAGGCTGCTTGGAGGGCAGACTCATCTCCCGATGCAATATCCACAAAACCAGTGTCAGTCGCACCAACATCAGAAACATTGAAATGACAAGTGCCAACCTATGAGAAAGTGAATTGTGATGGTTAGGCATCCACACATGTTTTAAAGTCAATCATGCAAGTTACTCAGAAAAAATGGACACTGTGCAACGGTAGTTGAACAAACAACCTTTGCACACTTTCCAACACAACTTTTAAGCTAAATAGATTCTTGGGAGCTCAGTAGTCACTTGGCAGTATTGTGATAGATAAATGAAATAGGCTGAATAGCCCAATAAGGTGGTGTTTCATTTTCCATCTTTTAAATCAAACTGAAATTGTTTGAGAAGAGTGGAAAACTAGCTGAAGACACCATTACAGTGCAAGGTGAACGGAACATTTAAATGATCCAAATACATGTATATTTCATTTTGAAAATGATTGTACCTTGGCAAGATATGGGTAACTTTGTTCAGTGTCAACACCATCGTTGCTTTTAATGTACTTAAAAGCATTGTCCATCAGACCACCATGACAACCATTGTTTCCAAATGACTCAGAGCAGTCTACAAGATTCTGTTCACTAAGAGAGACAAGCTTGCCAGTCTTCTTGAAGTGTTGTCCTTCTAAAGATCCAGTCTAAAAAGAAGGTGCACACTCAGTTTATTCTCCTAACCTTTGCCATATATTTCTTTCAATACAGGTTCTGAGAATCCTGTCTACAAGACAGTGTGTTAATATTATAAAGAGAAATAAAATTTCAATCAAATAACTTACTGTACTAAAAGCCCAGCATGATCCACAATGGGCTTGGTTCTTAACTGGAGTCACATAACCTTCCGTTCTCCAATCGACAGTGTCTGGAATCTTCAAATTTGATGGTGTAAGGAAAGTGGAAGCTTTGTCCTTGGAGCCCAGCAAGTTATTTTTCATCTTGTATCCATTCAGCATCTCTTTTACTTCTTGTGATGTCTAAACAAAACAGCAAAATTTTGTTAGGCTTAATTAACCCTGCCCCAGCATCTACATGTAGGAGTACACTTTCAGAAGCTTGCCGTTATGCAAAAATAACCTTTATACTTATACATGCACATGTACTGGGGTGGGTCTAGCAGGGTTTGAGGGGTTCAATTGAAACCTCCCAAATTAAAAAAAATGAGACATTATAACACTCTGACTTGGCCTCAGTATGCCAGAAATCCCATTTCTGAGGACCTCAATTTTAAAAATTTTCTGGGGAGGATGCCCCAGGACCCCCTTACAGGAGGCTGCTTTCGGCAGTCTGTATCTCCAATCCTCTTCTCTAGAATCCAGTATACCAGTTTTAAATCTTACCATGTCTCCAAGATGATTCATAGCGAGTTTGTATTTGTGAACTTCATTGTGAGAAACAATTCTTTTTAAGTTGTCTTGCCAGATGAAGTTACGCACTCTCTCTTCACCCTCATCATCGTAGTTTTTGTTGTGAAATGATTTCCATGCCTTCCAACTCGGATCATCTAAGGCATCCATGTTTTGCTTGACAGGCCAGCCGGATGAAATTCCAAGACAGACTGCTAACACTACTAAACACTTCATGATGAATCTACGGTTAAAATAGATGTAAAATGAAATATTGTTAGTCAAGCAGTAACAAATCCACCATTCTCATCTTATAACCAAAAGCAAATCGTGCAGCTCCAGAAAATATTCATACTGTTACTCCCCCCACAGAATGGATTGGAATTCCTGGGGGNGGGGCTCCACGAGACTTAAAGAAATATATGAAGCTTAACTGGAATTTCTAGAGGTGTGGGGGGTCTTAGAAAAAAATCCCTTCTATGAGGGAGGTATGGACATTTTCTGGAACACATTATTAAGGAGAAAATCATTTGGCAACTGACGTACATGTTGTTTGCTGTTTGCATGCAATGGCCAGCTTTTAACCACAAGTATAGATCTTGTAAAATACTGCAAGAAGGTTACAGAGACTTGCAAATTATACAGTGCCAACACAATTTGCAGCAGAGGTACGGTGCCATGGAGATTTCCTTCATCAAAATCTCTCAGGTCTGCACGATATTCCTTAGAGAGTCAATAAGAGCTGCATAATCACAACAGTCTGTTGTCGATTTGTCAACAGCATATGCTAGAATAAAATTGTAATGCAACATGTGTCTGAAATTCACAGCGCTTGTCTGGTGCCATGCCAAGTGCCATTTATAATAAACCAATTTTTGGGAGAATCTAGAACAGATCACAGGGTAATGCAGCCATTGTTTTACACGGTGAATTTTTTTGTTTTATTTATTTTTGCGTATTTTTGCTTAAAGCTGAAAAATCCAGTAAGAACATTCTGAACGAATGACATACAAAAATGACGTAATTTATAACAAAAAAAATTTCAAGCACTAAAGAACATTTCGTGGAGCACGTGATGAGTTATGTTATGTCAGAATTTTCACACTCCAAGAGTTACAAATCTCTTTTCTTAGAAGTGAACAAAAATAAGTTCACAAAAGTTTAGAAATAAGCTTTAAACAAGCCTTACAGATTAAAAAATAAGGATTAGCGCATTTTACTTGGATGTGACAAGTAGGCTTGATATATGATATAAATTTGAGTTTTCAGAAAATTTGCGATTTCAATTGACTACTTTGCAGTTATAACTCTTACTTAAAGCTCACTGTGCGTGCGAATTTCGGTACAATTTAAATGACGATTCACTGTGTCGATTAACTTCTCGCGTTCTTAGGAATCAAATACAAGTATTTCTCCCACAATCGTGTAATTATCAAGCAAGAATCCTGTCCGAGGAAATATCGCCGGTAAAATGATGTGTTCGATTTTCTCGCTTTCCATAACGCACTGTTTACCATTGTCACGTTGCTGTCACTACCTAACGATGCAGAACTCTTCTCCAAATACATCAATACAGGGAGACTGAGGTAGAACTCACCTTGTCAAATGAAGAAATAATCTTTAGTTGATTAAACTGCGGTAAAAGTGTCCTGTTAATCCCAAATCACACTCTGTTTGCAGTGAAGAGAACGAACGAGCCACGCTTTCATGTGTTTTTATGTCGCCGGCTTGAGTCCCGCTGTCATGGCACATGATTGGCTAATTTTACTTTGGTGTAATGTGATTGGTCAATTATAACTTGCATCAGCCAACCTGCGGTGTCACGAGACTTTCACAAGACTTACAAGCTTGTTTCCCGCGCTTTTCGAAGCACGTACGCATTTACTTCCAGTCTTCCCGTTATTTATTGTTTAAGCCATTATGATTTATTAACCACAAAGTTTTTTTTGAAGCGTTTTTTTCGGATTAGCATACTGATGAGTAGTTGACTTTCAGCTGGTGATTCAAAATAAATCGTTTTGTCGCTGAGGATTTTCTGTTTGGGGCATGAAATTTCTGTCTCACGTTCACCTTAGGTTTTTTTTTTTTTGGGGGGGGGGGGGCGGGGGGGTGGTGGGCAATAGCTCGTGGAATAATTTTTTTAACATAAGAAAAATAGGACTATAATAATAATAATAATAATAATAATAATAA